AATCTTGCTGTCTGCCCTTCATCTCTCTCTCTCTCCATCTCTCTCCCCAACCCTCTGAGAAGAGGAATCAGCCGAGTTATCCTCGCAGGTAATATTTTTTTGGCACCGGGGACGGGGTGCGTCTGTGTTTGGGATGAGGGGCTAGACGGGCGTCACTTATACTGGTCTCCCCTGGGCACGTCTGTCTTTACAGGCTTCCTCCCCCCGGCAGTCGCTGTCCAAGGGGAAGAACAGCAGCCCGAGGAAGAGAAGAGCTCCACCACCCCCTCCAGGTGCCCCCAGCCAGGTAAGGAGCGTGAAGCAGGTGCTGAGACCACGAGACAGAAACATTCTCCTCCTGCCTTTCAGCTGGGGTTGCCGGCTCCGGGTTGGGAAACTCCTGGAGATTTGGGGGGCGGAGCTTGTGGAAGGTGGGGTTTGGGGAGGGGAGGGGCTTCAGCAGGGTATAAGGCCAGAGAGACCAGTTTCCAAAGCAGCCATTTTCTCCAGGGGAATTGATCTCTGTTGGCTTGAGACCAGCCGTAATTCCAGGAGACCTCTAGCAGCTACCACCTGAAAGTCAGCAACCCTGCTTTCAGCAGGGACTCATAACAACGTAATACGCGATCAGAAATGCTAGAGGTGTGATTTGACCCTAAAAAGTAACTGTGGAGGGGTTGAATTGGAGCAACAGTGCTGGGAAAGTGGAGGTTCCTGTGCCACTTTCTTCTGTATAGGTATCGGAGAGAAGAATTAACCTCCCTTTCCCCTAGTGCTGCAGTCCTGATGGAGACATAGATGCTGCTGTGGTTGCCAACCTCCAGTTGGGGCCTGGAGATCTTCCAGAATTGCAACATTTCCAGGCTGCAAGAATCAGATCTCCTGGAGGAAATGGCTGCTTTGGAGGTTGATTCCGTGACACTATACCTTGCTAGGGTCCCTCCCCTCCTCAAAGCCCACCCCCTGGCTCCACCCCCCAAATTCCAGAAATTACCTAACCCAGAGCTGAAAATCCCAGGTGCACAACTGCTTTTCGGAACCTGATCACATATCTAGAACTGTGGCATTATGGTTTAGGCTGGAGAGAACTCTTTTCCCCCCAGCAAGGCCGGCCCCAGCTTATTTTGCACCCTAGGCGGGGATCCCTTCTGGCACCCCCCTCCCCATGCGCCCACCAATTTTCAAAAATAAATGCATTTTATGAAGAATGAAAAACACAAATAATCAAGAAACTCCCAGAGTACGGGGCCGGGTGCAGTTTGGCGCCCCTAAGGGCCGGCCCGCTCTAGGCGATCGCCTACTTTGCCTAGTGAGTGAGCCGGCCCTGCCCCCCAGACCACTGAAGGCAGTTTGAAAGAGAGACACCTGCTTTTGCTGTGTGAACCCTACTGTTTTTTTGCTTCCAGTTGGTTAGCTTTTGTAGACCCTTGTATGACTTCAATAGCCTTCAGGAAACCTTCAGGCAACATTGGGATTAGAGAAGTATGCATATGCGGCAGTGGTGGAAAGTCACGGCTAAATTTATTTATTTATTTCTATATTGTTTCTATTTGTATCCCGCCTTGCCGGGCATGCTGGCTCAAGGCGGCTAACAAAGTTAAAATAACATAAACAATACAGGGATTAAACAATTAATAAATACCATACCAAGTTAAAAACAACAACAATTCACAAATAAAACCGACTGATGATGGCGATAATCCAAATCACATCCAATGATAGGAGTGGCATCCAGCAAAGTCTCAGGCCAGAAGATGTTCTAAATTTCAAGCCAGAGGATGTTCCAGGGCACATTCATAAGTGGCAGCCCCAGGGGTCATTTCCTGTAGGAACACACAGGAGCGGAGCTCCGGCAGTAAAAAGCCCAGGGGGCAGGCACATGCAACAAGCCCCACCCTCTGCTCCCAGCAGCCCTCAGTCAGAACAAGAAGCAGCCAGGTAACCTGCAGAGCCCGCCCCCTGTCCCCTGGTCCAAAACAGTCCAGTGGCACCTTTAGGACCAAGTTTTATTCAGGTACAAGCTCTCCCTCCTCTGCGAGGGCAGATCTGCACGTCCCCCCTTCCCCATAGCTAGCAATCCAGAACAGTTCAGTGGAGCCTGAGCGGTGGGTGTTGCCTTCTGACACACTTCCAGTGATGTCAGGGGGTGTGGCATATGCAGATAAGTTATGCTAATGAGTTATGCTAATGAGCTCCTGCACCTCTTTTTCTACGAAATGACCCCTGGGCAGCCCCTAATGGAAAGCCTGGTGGATGTTATGGCAACCACTCGGGTTTTCAAGGCAAGAGACGTTCAGAGGTGGTTTGCCATTGCCTGCCTCATGACCAATGCTCCCTCTAGGGTTGCCAAGTTGCAGCGGGGGATCTGCATGTCTTCGCAGAATCTGTGCTGCGGGGACGGCGAGACGCGTTGCACCCACCATCGCCAGGATTTGACGCTACGCGTCGCTCTGGCAACGGGGCTCCAAACAGCCCCGTTGCCAGAGCGACACGTAGCATCATGTCCTGCCGATGGCGGTGCAACGCGTCTCACCATCCCTGCGGCATGGATTCTGCGAAGACATGCGGATCCCCCGCTGCGATTTGGCGAGATTTGGTAAGCCTAGCTCCCTCTAAGCTGTGGAGTCTTGTGAGCAAACATTCTGCTTTGTGAGCTGTTGGCATTAAAGTTGCGGGTGAGTGATTTGGCAGCTGCATAAATTAGTTTGCTCTGGAGCCGTCCTTCCTGAGCGAAGACAAAAATGTGTGAGCCGGAGGCTAAAAAACCATGAGCTGGCTCACACTAATTCAGCTTAGAGGGAACACTGCTCTGACCCTGAGTGCTCTCGAATCCAAACACTAACCAGGGCTGAGCCTGCTTTGCTCCTGAGATCTGATGAAGTAGTGTGAAGTCGGGGCTAGTGTGCATGTGTACAACTTAGGAAATAATGCTTCTCTCAAGCATCCTTCTCTTTGAATCCTCTTGGATTAAAAGTGCCATTCGAAACAAGAGTTTAAAATCTGAAAATCACCACATTTTGGAAATATCACAGATGAGTTGTGAAACTTTGCTCCTCGTTTTTATTTTTTTAAAAATTAATTTGGTCCTCTTAAGTATTCTTTTAATTATTTCCCTTGCCTTGGCCGGTCTGGATTCTCCTCCTTGATCACTTTGACTGGAGTGGACTGGAGAGCTATTGTTTGACTGGTGAAAGGGAGAGGAAATAATAGTGTGAGAGGAACCTGTGAGCCTGGGGAGATATGTCAACATTTTTATTTTATTCACTTCTTTGATTTATACCCCCTTTCCTGCTAAAAACTCCCAGTGTGGAACAGCATTGATTCCTCTTGTTGAAGTATCAATGCCTTTGTGTTATCAGCTTCTTTTGTACCAATTCCTGCCTTCACTTAAGACCTATTTGCATGCCTAGCAACCAACACACCTCACCTCTCACTAAGGAAAGGACCAAAGACTGCCACACTTAACAGATCCAGAAACAGAGAGTCACAAAACGAATGTGGGTTTACAGAGGTCTAAGGGGAAGTAGAGGCACATACCCTAAAGCAGGGGTCCCCAACCTTTTTGAGACTGTGGGCACATTTAGAATTCTGACACGGTATAGTGGGTACAGCAACAAAATGGCTGCCGCAGGAGGCGGGGCCAGACACAAAATGGCTGCCACAGCATAACAAACAATAAACACAAACTGGGGACGTCGCTGTTAAATGGAGAGGAATATATTGAATATATTGAGAAAATACCTCAAATAATACTTAATATGCAAAATCCAAAATGGTACCATTCAAAAATTTAAGGCTATTTGATTACAATATCAAATATGAAGTCCAGAATAGTACGATACAAAAATTCAAGCCCAAAGATTTCTAAAGATTTACGAAGAGTCCGGCTTCAACTTCGTTTCGAGGGAAGACTTCATCAGAAGTCTTCTCTCCGATACCTATACAGATTAATGGTAAATATTGTACTATTCTGGACTCTTTTTTTGGTGGGGCTGCCATTATTTTCCATAGTGAAGGGGGGGTGGCGCGCAACCCTCTCCCTCCCCTCTTGCAAGATTTAAAGGGCCCTCCGGCTGATCGGTGGGGAACACGTGCTCCCCGCTGATCGGCTGAAGGGCCCTTTAAATTTTGCAGGAGGGGAGGGAAAGGGGTACATGCTACCCCCACTTCTTCTTGAAAGCATTTAAATGGTCCCTTTAAATTCTTTTGGGGAGAATTGGGGGGGCTTTAAAAAGTGGGGGCCCTTTAAGGAAGGGGGCGGAGCCCCCAGTAGCCCCACATTGGGGGACCCCTGCTCTAAAGCCAGGAGCAAACACATTTCAAAAAAAGCAAACTCATCCCATCTCCTTTTCATCCGCATCCTCAACATCTCGCTAATATTTGATGCCACATTTATTTGACGGCCGCCGTTATTTTCAAGCATGCTCCTCACCCGCCGGACCACGCTTCATCGTCTGCCGAACAGAGCCACCGGGTAGTCACTGCCAAGCCTGCCAGGGGGCACTCCATCCCGACAGACGCGGTGAGGAGCCTGGGGCAGGGATGCCACCGAGGCAGGGCACGGAAGAGGGGGGAAGGAACCCTAAATCACGCCTCCCTGGACACTTGTTCCCAGGAGGACTGTGAGGCTTACGAAGAAATTGTGCGGCTGCGGCAGGAGAAGGCACAGTTTCTGCAGAGGATCCGGAGTCTGGAGCTGCAGCAGGAGAAGCAGCACCAAGAGGTAAAGGGCAGTGTCCACCACCAGTCCCCCACAGTCCCTGTCTACACTACCAGGAGGTCCCTCTGAAACGGCACTGAGGCAAAAAAGGTCATGCTAGAGTCAATTAGGACTGAATAAGTTTCCCCCACTCCATTTCTTTACAGTTCAGGAATTTCGCTCCGTGCTGTGTTTCGTTCCTCCTCGTTTCCAGTGTAACAGTGAGCGGATTCGGAAAATGAATGTCCAGTGTATGTTGTTATGTTGACATAGGTATTGTCATTAACGTAAATACGGGAAGAACTGAGGAAACTGAATGGAATCATATTGTAAATACGGGAAAAACTGAGGAAACTGAATGGAATTATATTTAACGGGTGTGATACGATAATAGGAAGTAACTCTTGGTTAGGAATTAGGGATAACAGAAGTTAGTGGATTAGTTTGAGAGCACTTTCTCTTATTAAGAATTTTGGGGGGGTGAATAATACATAATAGATTGATGGAAGAATAAGGTCAATAACCTGTATTATTGTTCACTAGAGAAATTAATAAATTGTGAATTTAAAAAAAAGGGAAATGACACCTGGTGGGCCGCTTCCCAGCACTCTCTGTGACCCAGGCCCAGGGGCGGGTGAAGGCTCAGGGGTGCCCTCAGCACTGACCCATCTTGGTGCCCCCCCTCCTTTCCATACTGACCCCCAGTCCATTTTAGTTGTTGACCTGTCTGACCGGGTATACAATGCAGGTTGCAGCAATACAAACATTTATTCCTAGGATAACACCATATCCTGTACAAACGAAGCCAAGTTTGGGCTACATGAAGTTCTTTTCCCCCTTTCCCCGACGTTGTGGTGCCCCCTTCTGGAGTTCTTTTCCCTCTTTCCCCCACGTTGTGGTGCCCCCTTTGGCCCTGGTGCCCTAAGCACCTGCTTAGTCTGCTTCATGGTTAATCCGCCCCTGCTCTTAGGCCCCTAGGCACAGTGGGGCCGAGAAGGTCCCGGCACCCCCACGCGTTTGCCAGGCACCAATCACCCGGGGCAGGAGGTCTTGCCTTTATGTGCCGATTTGCTGTGATCTATTTATCTTACCGGGCCACTGGATCCAATTTCCTATCTGCAGATGCATCTGGGCTCTGCGTGGCTCCCCCTCCTAACGGCTGCTCCCCCCCGCCCTCTTTTTTACAATTTTACGATAACAATAAAGAGTCACTATAGTCAACAAGGGAATGTAAAGAGCCACTAAATAAAGGTAGCAAAACTTAAGGCCTATTCCACTGTCCACTGTAGGCTTGCCAAGTCCCCCTGGGGGGCGGGGAAACCCCCGCCCCAGAGGCCCATTCCCCGCCGCCAGCAGATTGGACCCCAGGGGGAACCCCACCCCAACGTGCACGTCACCTGGAAGTGACGTGACGACGCTGGGCACGCTGGGGGCGGGGCCATGGTCATCCAAGGGAAAACTCTATGGTTTTCCCTCGGATGGTCGTGGCCCTGCCCCCAGCGTGCCCAGGTGTAAATGAAGCAAATAAAGGAAAATAAAAAAATATGTGCAATCAACTCGAGACCAAGGTTGTGGGTTGGTTCCCCCCCCCCCGGTTATAAATCGATGCCTTTGTGCCCATCGGTAACTTACAGAGGGAAGGATTATCCAAATGAACAGAAGGAGCTGAGAGCTATGGCGAGCTGTGGGCGGCACGATGAACAAAACTTGCAGATTTAAAAAAGTGGAATGCCGGAGGCTTCCCAGAGGCTCGGTTTCAGTTCAGGAACAATGCAGCATTTGGACAAGGGAGACATTCAAATGAGCAGAATTCCCAGAAGCATCCTTAAGTCAAAAGGAATGGAGATATATAATTGCTCATCGTGACATTGAGTCTTTTCAAAATGGGCTTCTGTAGACCGGCTTTCAGAAGAGGTTTCTCAGCCGCCAAGAAACTAGAACTCCTTTTGAGTCTCTGAACGGCACCCTGTTTGAGTCAGCAGTGGAGTGATTGATTTATTATTTGCTTCCTTTACCTTTCATTTAATTTCATTTACCCCACCTTTCTCCCCAGTGGGGGTCCAAACCGGCTTATATCATTTTACTCTTCTCCATTTCATCCTCACAACAGCCCTGTGAGGTAGGCTAGGCTGAGAGTGTGTGGCTGACCCACGGTCACCCAGCAAGCTTTCATGGCAGGGTGGGGGATTCGAACCTGTTTCTCACATCCTCGTTTGAGACTCTGACCCCAGCACCACACTCAAGTTGCATCTAAATAACAGGCCTCAGCGATGTGAATTAATGTTAGAGAGAACCTCAGGTCACGTGCAGAGTGCCTTCCCCATGTTTTTCTGCATTCTGATTTAGATTGAGGAAAGGTCTTCCGGGTAAGAAACTCCTGCTCATAGGTAGCCCTTTTCACAGAACCTCTCAGCATGATAATCATATAAATAACAACCATAAACAGGGGTCATTTCCTGCGGGAGTGCATCGGAGAGGAGCTCCGGCAGTAAGGAGCCCAGGGGGTGGGCACATGCAACAAGCCCCTCCCCCTGCTCCCATAAGCCCTCAGTTGGGCCACAAGGAGCAAGAAGCAGCCAGGTAAGTTGCAGGGGGGGGCCCTGGCCCGCCTTCAGGTACAAGCTCTCCCTCCTCTATGAGGGCAGATCTACGCATCCCCCCCCCCATAGTTTGCAATCCAAAACAGTCTAGTGGCACCTTTAAGACCAAGTTTTATTCAGGTACAAGCTCTCCCTCCTCTGTGAGGACAGATCTGCATGTCCCCCCCCCAATAGCTAGCGATCCAAAACAGTCCAGTGGAGCCTGAGCGGTGGGTGTTGCCTTCTGACACACTTCCGGTGTTGGCAGGGGGTGTGGCATATGCAAATAAGTTATGCTAATGAGCTCCTGCACCTCTTTTTCTACGGAATGACCCCTGACCATAAATAACACCTGCTGGTTGTC